CCCCTCCCGTTCCCTTCCCTCCTCGCGGTATACGCTATGTACTGCCAGATCGTTGCCGCGATGCGCCGGTAAGGAAAAAGAGTCTTGATTCTCTGCGAGAATCGCGGCCGGCGACCGTCTTGCAACAACCACCAATAGGTGACCCAGCTCACGTTCACAGACGTGCAACCGTTTCTTCGCTAATGTCGCTTCCTGTTCACGTAAAAGAATTTCGATATACCAAACGTAACCGTCAGGTGGGAACCGAGATCCGTGTAGAAAGCGTCACAATGAAGTCTTTCGGTCGACACGTTTGAGACTGCGAAATTACTTTGCTCGACATGTCGCAATAATGGCGCTTGTCATTCTATCGATACGTTCAATGATTTGTTCACACAGAGCCTTACTGACCTTTCTTTTCTCACAAAGTATATTCATTGCTTTAATCTTCAGAATCTATAAAATCGAAAGATTCGCGTGAACATCGTTTCGCCTCTCAATCGAATATAGTCTTAATAGATCTGCAATCAAAGAGTGATTATTGGACCATCTATATCTCAAAATATAGTCTCCATTCTGTATCTCGCTTGATGCGCTCTTAAGACAAAATTCAAATAATGATTATACAGTCCCGTAATGAGCACGCAGAAGCACACCTGAGTACTGAGCTAAGCCAAGTGCAAGTACGTGACATTATAGGATTTATAGGTCTTCAATAGCACGCTGTCTCTTGTAATTGAAAAATTTGGAACAGCTGAAACTCGATTATATTTTTAGCTTCTCTAATTTTATCATCGTATATTCTGTATACATTTTTATGCAATTAATATTAAAACTTTGTATGTGAATTGACTTAATTAGACTCAATGAAATCGTTAAATATTAATTATTTAGTTATGATCCAAGAGAATTGAAGTAGTCGTTACATAACATTATTAATTATAAACTTTTTTTAGGCAGACAAAAACATTTGCCTAAATGCCGTTGAATGCAGCTAAACGGATTAATTACACGCCGCCCAAGATCTCAAAAAATATTTGCACATGTTGATAATTGCTTGTTGATGTTATAAGATAAAAGCTTGACGCAGCATAATGGCGTAACGTCGATATTGGGATGGAAAGGATTAAAACGCGGCGCCATGTGAAATACGTTTACTATCTTGTTACAACGTCAATCAAAACGCACGGTAATAAATCATCAGCGTACCATATCCCTCGGATCAAGCACCGAAAACTCCATACCACCGTTGATAGCGCGTATACATGTAACAAATATAGGCGTTACGATATTATCTTCCAGTAAATGTAATAAATTTTCGTAACGCCGGCAGCTATTTTATATGCGAAATATTTATCGCGCGGCGAGATGTCCGAAATTAAATCGTTCGAGCCATCAAAGTGTGGCGTACAATAAAGGAATAGCGCGCGGTCGGTCATCGTTACGAGGATTCGATAAAATCGAACGGATACCGTTTGAATAGATAGAGTATACTCGGTCCTATCCGCCCCTTAAATTCACCATCCTTTCTCGTCGTTGCCGTTGTCGTAGTCGTCGTCGTCGTCGTCGTCGTCGTCGCTGCCGCCGCTACCACCGTCGTCGTCGTCGTTTCTGACTTCCGTCTGGCGTACGTCGCGCGAGCTCTTATTAAAGGTGGCGATTTATCGCTAGTAATAACGGTGCGGTCTGGTGCTGCTTGGCGGCGAATGTCTCCCTGCCAAGGTTCTCCGGCCACGAGCAAGAGCGAGCTCGTGGCGCGAAGAGGAAGAGGTCAGAGGGCAGAAACTGGAAAGTAAGGGTTTATTCGCGACAACCCCATCCGCGCGAGGGGTGGATGATGCGCCTCCTCTCTCTCTTTCTCTCTTCCTCCTCGGCAGTGTTATCAAGCGTGCGTTAAGCGTGTGTGTGTGTGGGGGGGGGGGGCGCGAGCGCGCGACGGGGTAGATTAACAATTCCTGACATTTTAGTGGCGCTCCGGATGCGTTAACGCCACTTCAAGTACCGGCCGAGTGCCCGACTGTAACGAGCTCCAGGATTGATTAACCGCCTCTGTCGAGCGACCCACAACTACGGACTACGTGCTTCTCTAAGCAAACGAGACGACGGTCCGACGAAAGATCCTCGGAACTTATAATTACCGCTTGATTAATCGCCATTTTGACAGATAACTCGGAAACGGAGGGAATTTTTCACTGACTCGTCACCGTTGTGCACGGATCGTCTACCGTATGCATCGATTAATCTTCCTAAAATATTGGACTATGTAAATTAGCTGCCGCGTCTGCCGACTTTTCGGACAACCGATTCCGGACGAATCGGTAGCTGCCATGTCACGTTGAAAACCGGAAAAATGGAAAACATTTATCATAATAAGAATATACGAGTTGTACTTGCATCTTTTGGCGATTTGGCTGGCAAGCATTGTGCAATAAATGCAAGGATATTCAGACAAACGTTTTCACATTGCTCTTTATAACACAAAACAATACCCACATGTAAACTTGAAATAAAATTCAAAAATACGGAAGATATACGACTGGGAAACCTTTTCCGAAATTAGTCGACACAAATATATTTCATTCAGGCTACATACGATCAGATAATTGTTGACAGATATTAAGTGTAAGTTTCGAGCGCAATGATATTCTGAAAAGGAATCTGGATCAACACAGTGTTAGGCGTGATGGACAGCGGCAGGTGTTTTCCCACATTAGTAATGATCGAAACCATGGTAATGATCGATCGATCGGGTCTGGACCGTGCATAAACATCGATAGAGGGAACAGGTCACCTGCTCAAGGGGTTAAGAAGACGAATAAGCATTATTCATACCGTGAGCGCTTATCCTTAAGTTATTCATCTCATGAATTAGTAAACACGGTGAAGAGAAGCTCGCGCGTATCGGCCCATCCCTACAACGAAGTTTACCAGAATATTAAGTCCAAACGATTCTCTTGCCGCTCATGCTTGCTTCGCCATCGGAAAATAATACTAATATTGGGATTAACAAATTCGAAAGAATTGCTGTATTTAAAAAACTTATTAACGTATTTAATAACTCGTGACAATTGAAATGTGTTACAAATTATTTTTTTTGATATATATATATATATATATATTGAAACATGGTATAAATAATTTTGAAAAAGAAGCTATAATATTAAAGTTATAGGTATATTAAAGACGATATTTAAGTAATAAGTTTTTAAATTTTCCAAGATAACCACCAATATATTTTCTAGATCAAAAATAAAATCTGATAGAGCGTCGAACATGCGTGTAATATCCATTTCGTTCCCTCCGATCTTTTCTAATGAAATTTTCAAAGAAATCTCGAAGAGAAATAGAAGAGTCTCAATATTCCCTCATTCGGAAACGCACACGTTTCTATAGCGGTTGCCGGTAATATTTAAAGGAAGGGAGGAAATGATTTAGCGAGGAAAGCAGTTACCGCCGCGCATTCCGTCACGGCATCGTCGAAGCGCGCGACTGTAGGCTAGAAATAGATTACAAACCGTCGTAAATATTCCGCGTTGCTGGTGTCGGGACGGCCCTTTCGCGCGCTGTCATCTTGTTTCCTTTCCGTCTTGCGCTGACTGACAGTCGACTTGCGGCGTGGCGATCTAATTGGGATAAGAATTTTTTGTACGAGGTAGCCCCTAATTGGTTACCCGTCATTAAGGGTGGTCTCGCGATCCTAATTATCTTAGCGTAAAGCTTGACACGTCAAGCAGCGGCACTTCTGAGACACTTTCGCGAACTTTGGCATGTCGTTGAGATCGTCAAGCAGGGATACGAGATGATTCATGTATTTAGTATTACATACATTTTTTACAATTTCGTTTCAGATTTCTTGTTATTTTTTCAGAATTAAATAAGTAATAAAGAAATGAACACATAAAAATAATGAATGTAATTATATATGTATTTATAAATTTACGTATATATATACTGTATAATCTACATTTTATAAAATTGTATAACTAAAACTTTAGTATTGATAATATCGCAAAGAATTACTTCTTGAAATATATTTTGCAAGATATTATCAATATACAGATCAATATAACATATAAAATGATATAATTATTACTTCCACTAATTAATCTCAGGAGATTCGTCGAGAACAATAGTTAACAAGATCTATCAAGAGATATATCAAAGTATAAAAAGAGAGTTGACTTAAGCGAGTGTAAGGAATGTTATAAAAAATAGCGCAAACTTCTTGATTTTACGATAAATTATACTATTGAACTTACTCAATTTATCTAAATTTATCTAAATAATATTTCTCATCTATGCACATTAAATGTGATACATTCTTGTAAAAAAATATATATACTTCTCTTGATTTTATAAGAACTACAAAGGTGATCAATTTAAGTCTTCGTTTCTTGCACCCGCTGTCCTTGTGGTTGTCCCTCGTCGGCGTCCCAGTTTTCATCATCCGGCACCGGATAATTCCACGGTTGAATTTTGGCTGATCCGAAGATCACAAATACCACGAAAGCGAAAACTTGGGCGACGATAGTAATCCAGAATGCGACCCTCCAACGCGCGATGGTATGCTGTTAGAAGACATGTGTGAATGTTAATACCGAAGTAAAAAAAACATCAATTAGAAAAATTATTTTTGTACTTTAAAACATATAAAGTTTAATATCTCAAAATTACTTCTGACAAGCAAAGAACATAATATTAAAATTCTCTCATTTGAAAGGTCTCCTGTTACAATAAAGTTGACTTCGCAGTTGATTACGCAATTAGAATTCAATGTCTCTTAGAGCGAATATCGGCTTAACTTTCTTATATCGGGTTAAAGTCGTTTCACCTTTCGTAAAACTTCAAGAAAGTGGGAAATCTCTGTGCATAACTTATTAAAAATTCAAGAAATTGGAGATCATGTCACGTTGCTCTTAACGGACACTTCGTCCTCTCTTTTTTGCCTAATCATGCATTAAGTGTTCAACTCACTCCTTCCGCTACGAGAGCACCAACTATCGGTGGCAGAATAAAGGCGGAAATAGTGCCCGGAGTATTTGTAATGCCCATGAGAATTCCTGCATAATTCGGGGCGAGATCGTTCTGATTACAAAGATGACCAACGAATATAGCACCGCAGACTACTATGCTCAAAGTTAGGAGCACGGTCGATGTCAGACGATCGCAACCGATATATGCGATTATAGCGAGAAAGATGCTAGGTGGTATGGTGCCTAAAAGAAAGAGAAATGCATTAAATATATCAAAATATGCATATATCAGAATTTTTTCCGTACTGAACGTATTTAATTTAATATAACGTATAAATTTTCGAAATACATAATACAATATATGCATACGTATGTTAAAGCATATAAAAATCAGTACAATGCAAGATATAGATTGATATCAATTATAATTTTTTTTTATACCAATTTAACAGAAAGAGAGAATAGATTTGCGCATTGTTATACTGTTAGAAACAGTAACGCAGAAATTACAAAGTCACGCGCATTATTCGAAATCACGATCGGTCGTGCAAATCACGCGGAAAATTTGCAAACAATACTTCGTTCATTTTTCATTAATATGTAAATATAATGAAATCCAAATTTAATTCTTTACGTTATGCTATTACATCCGCTAATGCTATGGATTGCTGTGACTAAATTAAGAGAAAGAAAAAGAGAATTGTCACCTTATTTTATTAATTAATTGAAAGAAAATGTATATACGTGCTGAATAATATAGTTATTCAAAATACGATCATTATTAAAAGTAATACAATATTTTTTACAATTTTGTTCAGAAATGCAGAAAAATTTTATTTTACGAAACTATTTTTAATCTGCTATAAGTGTAAACTATATTTCTTTATAAAATAACAAGTATCTATATTTATATAGCTATAATGAATCAAATTCCATTTCAAATACATACTTATAAACACCGCAATTTTACGTGCAACCGTCTGTGACCAAAATCCCTTTTTCCGTCCCCAATCTAAAACTTTTCCGATTAATGGATTAGTGAAGGCGTTCACGAGGTACGGCGTGCAAACGATAGCGGCATTCTGTAAAATATTTCAGGAAAAATTTACACATAGAGTTAAGATCTGTTTTACGTCATTGCATACGTCATTCGAAATAAAATAATATTACTATGTGCAATATATTATTCTGCTCATTTAAATTTCTTGACAACTAACATTTAAACAACTTGAAATACATAGTAATATACGTCTATGGCAATATATATAATATCTACAAGCAATTATACATATTATTACCGCCATTACTCACCGATGTGATATCGTATCGCAATATTTTGTTCATGTAAAGCGGCAACTGGGTGAGCAAGAAATACCAACAGAAGTTGCCTAAAGTATTCGTAACAATCAAGGCCAAAAATGGCACCGATGTAAATATACTTTTCCACGGGATCTTCATCTTTGCGGAGCCGGGCGTACGATGGCCGTACGAGTTAACGATGAACGATCTTTCCTGCTCCGTTATGTACTTCTGTTCTTCCGGACAACCAGCGAAAAATATAAAAAAGACGACGCACCAGATCAGCGGTAACGTTCCGTGGATGTAAAAGATAGCCTCCCAGCCCACGTAATTTAATATCAATCCCGAGGTAAGAATAGATATCACGGTGCCGAGCGACGTTCCGGCGTATATGATGCCGACCCACGTGCTTTTCTCCTCGTATACGACCCATGTTCCCAGAAGAACATTTACTATAGGAAGATTCGCCGCGCTCACGAGACCGGTCAAAAATCTTACGACGTATAGTACGTACAATTCGCTCGCCACGACCGGTACCAATATCGTCAAGATTCCATTTGCCAGCACGCAGATTAACAATACCCACTTCGTGTTGAACCTGCATCGATATTATTATAGAATATATGTAAATAAATAAAATATAAAATATTATAAACGATATTATATACTGAATATATTATGTATCACAGAGAAAAGGCATGAAATATTACCGATAAAACACCGAATAAAACACTTACCGATCCGCCAAATATCCCGCTGGAAACATACCGACGAGATATCCAGCAAAGTATATACTAATGACCAAACCTTGTTGGCTTGCCGTCCAATCGAATGGACCGTCTATATCGGTGACGGCATTTCCAGGAACATCAAACTCTGGACACTCATCCGACCAATCTATTACACCTGGTTTTTTCTTCACCATACCGATGATAGCCGTCGCGATATTCACTTTCAGACCATAAATAATCATGTTCGCAATGCACAGCATTACAGCGAACAAATATCGTACGCGTATCTCTAAGGTTAACAATGAAAGACAAGTAAATGATATAGTACTAAAAATACAACATGGTTATACTAAATAACTAGTAGAATTTGTTTAACCTATAATGGAATTTAGTAAACAACTTGCTGTTACAATACCGAAATGTGAGAGAAAGTGAGAGAAAGTAAGAGAAAGAGAAGTAAGAGAGAAAAATAATGAATATGTATTATTTCTACACTACACTATGCCATATCGATAATGCTAAAAATCTATTTTTACATATAAATTTATAATTATGACTTAAACCAAATCTCGTACGCTAAAATGATACGATAAATGAATATCAAGCATTCAAGGAGAATGATGACAAGGCAGAATTTTAACTGATAACTTTATCGATTAAATATAGCAGAACTAAATTACATTAGATGTACAAGTTTATTATACATGCAAATGTGCACTTTGCGAATCAAAAGAATTGAGATTGTTGCTTTAATTATTAATCATAAATGCTAAAAAGACAGAAAATATTTCCTTACCCATCGTTATGAATATTCAATGTGACCTCGGTTAACGAATCGATGACATTGATGACCATCACGTTTTAAATCGTTGCGCCAGTGTCGCCGTTTTCGTCGTTTGTTTTCGTATCGATAATCACCAATTCGGTTTCGTTCGCTCGCACATTCAACCGCTCGAGGACGACTATCGAATCGTCGGCGATGAGAGACTGCACGATACCCAGACTCCTCCTCCACGAATCTTTCTAGACGCGCTCAACGCTATCGACGCGAGATTACATCGACGGTCGGAGACCAAGAAGTACACTGTCGCTCATTTGTAAAGTCAATAGTTCGAGGCTTCACTGCCTTGCTCAATAACGCTAATAAATATGTTGTTCCTATACGAACGATAACACGACCGCGCGTATTATATACAACTCTCACAATGTTGTCAGTTGCCACGTAAGACAAAACAATATGGAAACGCTCGTGCAAACTTTACGATGTATAAAGTGGGCATTTATTCCTTTCGTTATTAATGTTTTAAATAATCTATCAGGCGCAAATTTGTTTTCAATGTCGCATTTTTAAGCAATGTCTAGTTTCCGATATCGATTTCGATTTTTCAATTTTAACGCCAGATGTTTGCTAAATATATTTGTTTACTAAACGAAATAATTTGCTTAAGTTTTTCATATTGCAAATGCCGTATTCTCTATACGGATTGATAGTATTCTAAATTTTGAAAAACTTACTATATATAAAAAAAAATGACTCTAAATATTTATTTTTTATATTTAATGCTTATCAATGTACAAAGTCTAGTTTAAAACATTGATATTGTGTCTACTGCAGCATTCGCTTTACCTATTTACACATTTCAAAATGATCATCCGTTATATCTAAAAATTCTATAACTTTATGAAACTTTTTTAAACTTTTGTTTTTAATAAAAATATATAAATTGAAATCTGTTAATTCATTCAATACTTACGCTAATTTTTTTCTTTTCTTCTTTTTAAATTAATAAAAAAATCCATATATATTTTATGAGTCAGTTTTCGTCGTTTTCGAAACACTCTGTATAAATATCAGTCCACGTACATACTCGATAAGTTTTTAATATCAATAAAGGCAAGACGATAACGCACAGACGTACAAACGTACAAACGTAATAGAGAAATATGTTTGAATAATGTATGTAGTCACCGGAACTAGATATAGCTCGATATGTGAGTGACGTTACGAAAGACGGTGCGAATTGTCCGGCGGTCACACGAGCACTAAACTAAACTATGGAAGCGGCTGCGTTTTAACTTTCAGTAATTTGCACATAAGTGGCGATTCCATAATGTGAAACAACATTGCCTTGTATTTGCTGAATCATCATTACATAGGATTACTTTGATTTTTTAATGACTGTTACAGTACACGATGGAGATACAATTTACAAAACTGTTTAATACAATTATACGATCATTTAAAAAATTCAATAGATAAGGATAAATATTTACTAGTAAATGCAACAACTGTGTGATTAATTAGTGGAATGACGTGGCAAAAAAAAGTTAATGTTATCACTTGCACTTAATCGTTTAACTTCGTTGTGGAAATTAATCGTTTTTTATTCTCAAGGTCACATTCCTTTTTACAAACGATTCCTTGAAAACGGGCGAGGCAGCAGTCGTGGTCGACGAGATCGTTCTCTCGAACCGGTCTTCGCAGCAGTACGCGTTATTCATGCCGCGTTTCTCCGGCGATAATTAAAACCAAGCGCATTGATTATACAACCACAGACGACAGACTTTCGTCTCCGTTTAACGGAGCCCGACGGCAAGGTCTCACTCGCGCGATATCCGATGTGAATGTCCCAACCATTATCTCGGTAAGCTGCCAACACCGAAACTCGAGTCTCTCCTCTCGCCGCGTTACGGTGGCACACGATAGCATTCTTTAACGGACATTCGTCGGCGAGACGTTTAATGTTTATGGGCTGAGGATAATAGGGTCTCCCTGGTGAGCCCATGTCCAAACGAATGAGAAACGTTCCGCAGCGTAGCCCTGGGACTCCCCGCCGATCACAACTGTAGTCTTGGATATCTGTGCATTCAACATATAGTAACGCCCACCGAATTATATTCAGCACACGTGTCATCTTTTTCCGTCGACCAATTCGAGATAAGCTAGACGGATTATACACACAATAATATTGCCACGATTTTATCATCCTGCATATCATGTGTCGTTAAGAATAAATAATAATGTTTATAGATAATTTAATGTTTTGACGTAGATAATTTTATTAATATTTATTTCCAGCTTTTTTTTTAGGTAGCAAATATATATAAAATTAATACAAAAACACATTCGAAATTCTGAAAATGTATATGTCACTTCTTGTCACAAATGTCAAGAATAATGCATTTATTGAAGCTTAATGCGTTATCATGTCTTCTCTTATATTTGTAAAAGATAGTCTGCCAGGTGAACATACTTATCATATAGAGCAAATATTCTTATGTGATAGAATGTGGATTTGTTTGTGTGTGTTCGAATATAGATATAGATTAAAGACATAAAATTATTATTATTCAAAAAACTTTCCAGTAAGATATAAATTAAAAACATAAAATTATTATTATTAAAATAATTTTCCAATAAAAATTTGCAATTTTTAAAGACTTATTTATCGTACAATTGTTACATAAGCTGTGTATTATCGAGACTTTAGTGCATGCATATCTAATTCATACATTAGCATATGACTGTCGCAGATACATATAATAAATAATGGATTATTTATGTACTTAACATAGATAGCAAATCAATCAATATATATTATTCATTGTTGATACATACTTGATGTTAAGATATTTTCGCGTACGATTCTTAATTAACAGATAAATTAAACTGACTCTAGCATTTTATATTCATAAAGATTTATTAATCTCAATGGAACTCTTGAGCTACAAACGGAGCAGTCTGTATTTAAATACTGCGTGAGTATCTCTATCAGCGATAATGCGCCTATGTAGGTCGATCTGACTGACGTAGCAATAATTTGCGTAACAACGCTTATCATGAAACAGTCGGGGCTTGTGCACACATAACAAGCTATTTTACAATTTCTACCTTACATATTATACTTTTTACATAATGTATCTTATTCAACACAATGGAATTTTTTAACACATACCGCTGTACATGTCGTACATCATGCTTTCTTTTCGGTGCAAACCGCATACGTTTCTGCGTTGTTCGCCGCCCAATGGGTAGTGGCGAACACAGAGCGGTGGACAATAACGACGACCACCGACCATCACAATATTTTTACCAGACCCGCGGTCTCTTTCGTGCGGTAAGCATGTGACAAGCGTGACGAAACGTTCGTAGAAACGAGAAGCGCACAGACGGAAGTGGTTGCCGCGGCAGTCTCGTGACGACAACGACGACGGCGACGACGACGACGACGACGACGACGACGACGACGACGACGACGACGACGACGACGACAACAACAACGACGTCAACGAAGCTTGGAGACGCACGAGTTGCCATCATCCTTGCGCCTCTTCTGGGCTTATTCGGCCCAGCGCACACCTGCATTCGCGCCGGGGTGAATGCTCGCGCACATACCTGCTACAGGAATATGGCAGGTTGAGATGGGGGAAGCGGGGAATCCACTCGAGAAAACGCAAAGCTCCGAGCACCGGTAAAAATGGATACGTCGCCGTCGCACCCGGGAAAGGGAGACAGAGGAGACGAGATAGCAAGAAGAGAGATGCGAAAGGACGAAAAAAAAAAAAAATCGGTAGATGCTCGAAGCGGTAAGATGTCTGAATGTACGACGTCTTGCGCCGATTAAAGGACTCTTGGGCGAGATGGAACAATGATGATGATCGTGGTGGTCGATTAGCGCGGCGCTTGAAAATCTCAAAACGGGATCGGACCGCGAAGGATTCAGGACACTCCAATCACGGCCGCTGCTTCGTATTGTCCAGGCATTTCGGGGCCCTTGCTGACTTTGTCCTGCAGTGTAAACACAACCCTCAGACTGCCACTACTCGAGACAGGCCCGTCAAAGACCGGTATTCCACGCCCGGGACGAACACCAATTAAATGCCGGCTGCAGGTTGAAGCAGGTTGACCGTGCTAACGAGCACGATGCCCCTTTAACGTTCTTTAATTTTCGTCCACTGTTCGGACCACCTACTACGAAAAGATGTCAAGCTGGTACGAAGCAAGGCGTTGTATTTGTGTATCAGTTGACCCATGTGATTTATTATATTAAAATATTTAAGGGTTAGAGTGTTTGTCTATCAATTTGCAAAAATGAATTGAAGAGTGACGCGTAGAATTAAGATGGACGTCCATCAATAAAAAAAATATTCAAAGTTTCAACATAGTTAATTCTTTCTCTTTCTCTCCTGAGCAGATGTAGATTTAACTAAATGTAAGAAACTATAGCAATTTCCTTATAATTTCCTTATATTCTTACATCTATTTTTTTTGTTCGTTACGGCAATAATGGATAATAGAAGGAACTCAGAAAAAATTACAATAATTTTTGATACATCAATTATTTTTCAAGTGTCGGCATGGGTTTTCAAAGAAACCATTCGCGCAAGGCCGCCTATAAATATCCGAGAATACGACTAATTTGCAAATAAGAGGAAACGATTTTCAAACAATGACACGGAGAGTACGATCGGGGAAGCGAAGCGGGCCAGAAGGTAATGCATCATCTCGCGCGCTATCTTCCATGAAGTCTATACCGCCCGAAGCGTGCTGGAGCGTACGGAGCGCGCGTTTTCCGCGTTGCATTTAAATGAAACGGACAGGTTCCATCGCGCTCGAACGCACGCGAGGAGGAGCGGAGCTTTCGCTGAGCGCACGCGCGCGGCATGCATTGCTCCGCGAGATAAAAAAAAAAGAAAGGAAATACACACAGGAGACGAAGAGGTGATATATGCGGACATTAGTTATACACGAGATGTATGAGGTTTTGCGGCGTCACTCTGCCACTGTCAGATTCCGGCGCGGTGCTCGTCCCGACATAATCGGGACGACCCATATTTCCCCGCCGCAATGCGTCAAGCTTCCCCCTCGTGCGATTCCCCGTTTCGTACCTTCATTTTTCACTACCGCTCGTGATCTCTCCCGCGCCCAAATTCACCTTCCATGTCGTCGCGAGCGCGTCTACCGCTTCTCCATCCACCGCCGCGCCGCGCCGCGCCGCGCCACTCCGCTCCGCGACGCCTCTCTCCATCTCCCTTCCCTCTCACACGCGGCACACGACCCGCCGGCGTCGCGACGATTGTACATCGCTTCCGGTGAAATTCTCCTCCTCGGCAGAATACGGGAGTCCCGATCGAGACGAATCGATTCGCGAAATGCCGCTGGCACGGCTGGAACGGCAGTCAAAGCGTCGTAGTAAATATTGGCCGACCATTTTCTATCTATTTCCGATGCTACAGAACGCTACCTACTTTGATAAGCGAGCCGATACGCGAAGCTGAAATTGACGGTCACGCAGTAAATTTTCTCTACGAATGTGCGGAAAGAAACCATCCAAATATAAAAATAAATATATCTTAATACACGCTTGCTGAATACTTATATAGTTTCGCATTTCGATATTTTAGATTCTAGAAAGAAACATTTTTCTAATTTAGTTAAATTTTGAGAATGTATTTAAAAATTTGATATCGATCTGAGATCCACATCCTGATAGATATACATTATCATGATTAAATAATTACATTATTACCATATTCTTGAGATTGTAAAGAGACGCTCCCGTGAATGTATGTAGAGGCTGCAACTAGAACTGCATGCTCTGGAACTTTTCCGGTGAAAGAATATTAGATTATATTAGAAAGAGATGCGCGCGCGCGAGAAAGAGAGAGAGGGGGGGAGGGGAGACACCGGGGAGAGCTATCCTGATGAAGACCGCCAATATCGATTTTTCTTTAGAGAATGAAAAATGCAGCCGTTGCTCCGTAAAATATATGCACTTTATCTTACGCGCCGGGAAACGTATGCGTCATGACATCACGGAGACGATGGTGCAATTGAACAACTATAAAACGTTTGTTTGTTCGGTAAGTTTACACAGCTTTTATATAGTCAACGGCAGCAGTCGACTGACTGTCACTGAATGAAATGCTAATGATGATGGATGACCGAGGATCTCTTTCTTCCGCTTGATTTGTGGGAGAAAAAAAAAGACGTCACGCAGTAATTTGTATGCAGTAACCGAGTTATCGAGAAGTCGCACGTTTTCATGTTACATCAAAAATAATCCCGTAATTAAACGCGATTCATTATAGCGCACTGACATTTAAATCTGTTTTACGTCATAAAGAAACATTATTATCCGCGCGCGTACAACGAAGTTGTCGCTCATACGAATGTAAGTTATATGAATCGTCGATGGTTATTTTCTCGTCATTTTCCCGTTTCTCTTTAATGTCATAATCCAATATCATTAATAACAGCGCAAAATTCACATTAATCGAACGTATAATCCAACAAAATGTAACATTAATATATGTGTAATAATGGATTTTATAAAATGACTTTATATAGCACTTCCTATTTTATATTAAAGACATATTTTTCTCGATGATTAAAGAACTTAAACATTGGCCGTTTGTATGAGAGAAAACGATATTCCGATGAATAATATTGACTCAAAATATTATTCATCCTAACATACATTAGCTATTCATCTGAATACGCGCAACTGTCTGGAACGGTTTGAAATATAAAGAATGCCTGCTTTATAGGTGAAGGGCGCGTGTTTTGTGTCCGTTTGGATTGTAATTTGTACATCTACGTGAACTTACGTGCGTGTACGTGTTACCCTGACATCTTTGCAAATGAAACAATTTTGTCACTGATGTCGCACACTTGACAGAGTGCAGAATAACTTGGCCTTTCATGGAATTGTCAGTACCTAATTGCCACAAAACATAAAGTGTGAGACAAGTGGCAATATAAAAGCGTATTATCCGATATCAATGGTAAAAATAGGTTAATATTCATA